ATTCTGGCCTCCACCCTGAGTCCCCAGCATGGTCTCTACAGAGTCAGGGTCGCTGACTGACCCACTGGCTCCTCACCTGCCACCAGGATGTCCAGGGGGTCACTGGGGGCCGACCACTCAGAGGAGAGGTTGTATCCACCGTAGCATCTGTACCGGCCCCCGTGGGAGCTGCTCACAGTGCCCAGTGGGAAGTGGGCCTGAGAGAGCCCAGCCTGGGGCTGCAGGACAAGGCTCTGGAGGAGGTCCCGTCCCCCCTCCTTGTGCAGAGCGAATCTGTCATAGACGACATCAGAGCGACACTGGAGGGTCCGTTTCTGTCCAGAGAACATGATGGGTCCCTGCTGGCTCAGGAGGGAGGGCTTCCCAGACTCACCTGGGGAGACCAGACATGAATTACAGGGGCTGCTCCTCCCATAAACCCCTTCTCCTGTCCTGGCCCACAGGTCTCACTGTCTCTCACCCAGTCTCTGGCCCAGGTGCCCTGTAGCCACAACACCATCTCCCCTGGGGCTCCACTCACAGCGAAGATGCCAATTATGTATCCAGTGCCTCAATCCTTTGATGAGACAATAATGGGACTTCCCTGGAACCAGGAGCTCCAGGGCATCACTGGGGAGGGACCACACATTGGGTCTGTTTCTGTAGCAGCCGTAGCATCTGAACCTCCACCTCTGTGTGGGGGTCACGGGGCCCACAGGGAACAGGGCCAGGGACTGCCCACTGGGCTGTGGCTGTGAGTCCAGGGCCCAGGAGAACCTGTGATCTCCTTTCTTAGTCAGAATGAACCTGTTAAATCCCTCCCCTGCGCCACACTGGAGGGTCACACTCCATCCTGAGGTCACGACAGGGCTGGGCAGGGCTGAGAGGCTGGGTTTGCTGAAGGCTCCTAGAAGAGGAGGAGGCAGCATGTTAAATGGGCTCAAACCTCCTTCATGTCCTTCAGGGCGGGTCTGAGAGAGGGAGACACCCTGAGAGCAGACCCCCTTCCATAGGGAAGAGCTTGAGGCTGGGACCCCTGAGTGTCCTCTCACCTGTCACCACCAGCTCCAGGGGGTCACTGCGCTCTGACTGGCCACTGGGACTGAGATAGTAACAGCGATATCTCCCGGCATCAGGCTTTTTCATGTGTCTGATGGAGAACTTGGCTCTGTCCCCGGGATCCAGTGGCTTCTGTTGGTACCAGGATGTTGTGCTTCCCCCTTTATACAGACCGTACTCCTCAGCCCTTGGGGTCCCCTGACACCAGATGGTCACGGGGGTCCCTAAGGGGATCACAGGTCCTGGCTCAGCCCAGGTGCTGGGTTTGGGGAGGGTCCCTAAAAGGAAACCAGAGGCTGCTTTACAAAGACCTTCCCACCCTCATCCCCAGCTCAGCCCAAGACACTCTCATTTTATCACCTCATCCCAGCACCTCTGTGCTCACCCCTGAGCCCCAGGGGTGAAGTAAGAGGAGGGACACGGAGCCTGGGGAGGACTCACCTGCCTCCACACGGGTCCTCTGGTCCAGACTCAGCCCTGGAAGAGAGTTCCTGTGAGAGATTTGCACCC